ACAAGTCGAGTCGAGTCGGCTCGCGAGTCAAAATTTGAGGCTCGGGCTCGACTTGGGTAAAATGAACGGGCTTTTTTTCAAGCCCGAGCCTTGCTCGGCCAAAAAAATTTTGCTTGACCCAAGCTGGGCAGGCTCGCTTTTTTATCTTTTTTTTTTTTAAATATAAAGGCAGCCACAGCCGGCTGCCTTAAAAGGCAGCACAACTGACTGCCTTAAGAGGAAGTCGGCTGTGATTGCCTCTCTTAAGGCAGGCAACACAGTTGCGGCTGCGTCTTAAGGTAGCATTTTGTTGCCTAATTTTTTTTTTCCCCTTCTCAAACTCGCGGGGTGGCTCGGGCTCGGCCCAAGCCTTGGCCCGGTTCTACCGTGCCGAGCTATGGGCGGCCCCAGCCGGCGAGCCGAATTGCCATCTCTACATGCATCTAATGTCTATCCAAGTTGCACAAAAACTTGATATGTGAGACGGTAATGAAATCAGAATCTAGAAAGTAAGCGACACTTTGAAAACTGAAGTTTTGGAAAAATTTTAAGTTGGTCACTCAACTTTTATTTCTTTCAAATTAATCATGAAGTTTCAATTCTGTGTTGTGAGAAATTTAAGGTGAAAATTCTCTCTTGGAAAATGATATTAAAGTAAAGAAAGAGAACTGCAAGAATTGGGAGAATTAAAAAGAGTTGGTGAGGATAATTTTCACGAATTTAAAACTAACGATCATATTGAACGAAAACATCTAAAAAAGGACTAATTGTGGGAAGACGAGAGGCCGAGGATGTTAGTTTGAAGTGATCAGATCACAGAGGCCATAGATGAGGGACCATTTGTGCCAAAAAAAAAAAATAAAAAAAATCCTTTAAATATGTAACAAATAAACCAATCAATTGAAATTTATTAACAAATAAGTTTTGTCGGTTTTCGTATTTTTTTTTTCAAATTATCAAAATTTATCGACTGATAATATTTCTTAATTATAAACAAGTATATAAAAGTTAATATGAAATCCAATGAAAACACTCCTTGGAAAATTTAGAAAGTACATAAAAGTAAACAGAATTAAAAATTGCACAATGACAAATTCCACCAGAAATTTTTGGAGAAAAACAGTAAATAGAAAATAAATGAGAAAATTTCCGACATAAATAATCAGTTGCTAATTGTATGTAATATATAAAATTAATAAAATTATTTGAAAAGTATAAAAATACACAATATATATATAAGTTACAAATTGAATTTTTTTTCATCAGTAGTGTATAAATATATATTTTATAAATTTATACTAACGTTTGATTGTAAGGATGAAATTTGGATGGAAAGAAAACGAATTCCAAATAATTAAATTGTTTAGAACTTATTTTCCTAGGAATTGTTAATTAAGACACCGTTTGATTGGGTTTTAATTCAATGGAAAATGGAATTCCACAAACGAATGTCAAAAGATAGATGATTTTCTTGATTTTTTTTTTTGACAATAGAAACAAATTATATCCTCAATACCAGTAAATTTTATCCCTTTAATTGATAATTTTTGTGTAAAACAAAATCAAACGAACACAAAAAAAAAGATGGCAATGGAAACAAATTTCATCCTCAATACCAGTAAATTCTATCCCTTGACAATTTTCATGTAAAACAAAGCTAAATGAATACCAAAAAATACTTTTATTTCAACATTTTTCACGTGAAAAATTATACCAATTAAACACAATAATTTACAATTTCCAGGAAAACAATTTTTAGGTAATTCAATTCCTTGGAATTCGTTTTCTAAGCAATACAATTCCATTTTTGCAATCAAACGAACCCTAAATGTATTTGATTGGTATAATTTTTCGCCTGAAAAATGTTAAAATTTTGAATCTTTTGGCATTCTTTTGATCTTGTTTTTTATGAAAATTGTCAACTAAAGGAGGGGGAAAAAACTATTTTCTCACGAAAGCCAATGGTTTTCCTTAAAAAGCTAGAAAAGAGGGTCCCGTGGAGTGAGAAATGGAAAACCAATTCCATGGAATTTGTTTGCAATCAAACATCCAATTTTATATGGAAATGGAAAATGTTTTCTATTTTCCATGGAAAAAAAAGGGTTATCAAACATTCTAAAACTTCAGAATAAACTTCATAGCAAAATGAGACGTGTTCCTCATGACAATTTATGCTATTTACTTGTTTGATAAAATGCTAAGAAGTGATTATTTACTTGTCCAAAATGCCCAACTTACCCATTTATTAATGTTTAGCATGTTTACTTTTCCAAGCTTTATTTGTGTTTTTTTCCCCCCTTTTTTTCTTTTCTTGGTTTATTAAGTTTCATAATAGATTTCAGTACAATACTTGAATAATTAAACATATATTGTATGCAAATAAATTTATGATCATTATGGCTTGAGCAAGTAGTGTCAATAATTTTGTCCATGGACAAGTTTCTCACTATAGTTTGCTTGCCATAAACTTTCGAACTAAGATTACGTCAAGAGTTGTCGTTGTCAGAAAACAACACCCTTTTAACAAGTATTATTTTTAAATTATTTTAGAAACCTAGGTTGCATATATAGTGCAAGACTATAATTATTTAGAATCGACATACTCAAAGATTTCGTTTCTCTAGTCACTTGTTTGATAATCAAGAGTAAACAATGCCAATGAAGTACTTTGCTTTTAGTCATTCAAGGTCTTTAATATTGCTTGGTTGGAATCATCCTAAAATCATGAGGTTAATTTCACTAGTTTTATCATCCACTTAATTATCAATCATTATCTTCACTAGAAGTTAACTAGGGCCTACTAGAAAGAATAACACGCTCAAAAAAGATATTTTGATCGTTTTTGCTGATATTTTATCCGAGTTATGACATATTTCTCACGCATGATTAGTAGACTAAAAAGTTATAAAGTTTACCAATTAATTTACCATCTTCTTTAATTCTATAGAGTCTTGTAAACATAATTAGTATAGTATTCACAAATTATTTATCTAGTTGATCATAAAATATTGAACAAATTGGAAAAAAAAAAAATAGCATTAGGTTATCAAGTGTAAGTAAAGAAATTGTGGGTTTATGTACAAGTTGCATTAGTTTAGTCACCCAACCAACCAACATAGATATGACAATGTAATGCACAATTTTAATTAATTGCCCCAACTCGGATGTATAAGACAAAAATGTTGGAGCTTTATAGCTGTTTTTTCATCACTTCAAATTAAAATACTAGAAAGAGTTGATAGATCCTATCCTAGTAATAAAACCACATACCTTAGGGCATATTTGGCACAATAAATTCATACCATAAAAAATGTTCTATGTCACACGAGATTTAGTCTAAAAAGTTAAACTAATGTCGTTCGTGACAAAGTGTATCGAAATATATTTTTAGACACTTATGACAAAGTTCTAACAAATATATTTTTAACTAGTAAAATTAAATATGGAGCATATTACTTAATTTGATAATAACATTAATTTCATGGTCGAAATAAATACATTTTTAACTCATAAGTATAAATAAGTAATATATGAAAAAATATATTAGAAAAACTTTAAT